CCCTAACCCTAACCCTTACCCTAACCCTAACCCTAACCCTAACCCTTACCCCTACCCCTAACCCTAGGCACCATCACCCCGCAGCACCTGCTCGCCAGCCTCTAACCCTAACCCTAACCCTTACCCCTCTACCCCTAACCCTAGGCACCATCACCCCGCAGCACCTGCTCGCCAGCCTCTAACCCTAACCCTAACCCTTACCCCTACCCCTAACCCTAGGCACCATCACCCCGCAGCACCTGCTCGCCAACCTCTAACCCTAACCCTTACCCCTACCCCTTACCCTAGGCACCATCACCCCGCAGCACCTGCTCGCCAGCCTCTAACCCTAACCCTAACCCTTACCCCTACCCCTAACCCTAGGCACCATCACCCCGCAGCACCTGCTCGCCAACCTCTAACCCTAACCCTTACCCCTACCCCTTACCCTAGGCACCATCACCCCGCAGCACCTGCTCGCCAACCTCTAACCCTAACCCTTACCCCTACCCCTAACCCTAGGCACCATCACCCCGCAGCACCTGCTCGCCTCTAACCCTAACCCTAACCCTTACCCCTACCCCTAACCCTAGGCACCATCACCCCGCAGCACCTGCTCGCCAACCTCTAACCCTAACCCTAACCCTTACCCCTACCCCTAACCCTAGGCACCATCACCCCGCAGCACCTGCTCGCCTCTAACCCTAACCCTAACCCTTACCCCTACCCCTACCCCTAGGCACCATCACCCCGCAGCACCTGCTCGCCAACCGGAATGCGCTGCTCGCCGGAGGGATACGGCCCCATCTCTACTGCCTCCCCATCCTCAAGACGGAGGAGGCGAGGCACCTCCGAGACACCTCCGAGACACCTCCGAGACACTTGCCTCCCCATCCTCAAGACGGAGGAGGCGGGACGTGCAGCCGAGACGTCGCACGCACTGAAGAGCAAGACGTTTCAGCCTCCCCCGCCCCGAGGATGGGGAGGCAAGTGTCTCGGAGGTGTCTCGGAGGTGTCTCGGAGGTGACTCGCCTCCTCTGTCGTGAGGATGGGGAGTAAGTGGAGACGGGGCCGTATCCCGCGGGCGAGCAGCGAGTTCCGGGTGGCGCGCAGGTGCT